CGCGCCCGGCCAGACACGACTGTGGCGCCGTTCAAGTAATATATCACGTACGAAGCGAAGCGACGTGTATAATAGGATCCATAAAAATATCGTTTCGTTTCGCCGGGCGTTTGATTTCCCGTCACCGAAATAACGGTAACTTCATCATCCCCGTGCGCGTGCGGGAAACCCACGTTTTCCATCCCTTGGCCGTGGACGACACGACGGCTGTTCCGGTTTTCCTAACGTTTCGGACCGCGTACCGGCCACGGTTCATGAAACTGAGTGCACCCGTGTGTACTTCCAGGGTACTGTTGATTCGAACTAGATATCTGTTCCTGTGTTGACGTCTGAAAGTTGCGCCCTCCGAAAGCGTCGGATACGGTTAGAGCGTGTCCGTATAGTTAGAAATTAATCGAATACGTTGAGTTTTCATTTTCGTTGCCGTTATTGTATTAGCCGGAAACCGAAAGAATAATTTAACTCGCTATCGAACAAAACGCGCGTGTATACCTCCTACGTTAATATAAGAACGCTCAAGAGTTGGGTCGGATTAGGTCTGACAAACCGATGGGTTTACTTTAACATAATCCGGTATATCTAACGACCTCTTCGTTAAGCCCTTTTATTACACAGATTAATTTTCAAGAACATCGGTTTTTCTGTAATCGCACTGTAATAAAATAACGTTATAATCCGAAACAAAATTAAAAATTACTTTATTTTCGAAAATAAAGTACCCGAACGTTATTTTAATTTTTATTTTTTTTCTGTTTTCGTACATCGACTCGATTAATTTGCATATTTTCCCGAGTCCCGAAGAAACGCTCGAACTGTTTAAGATTCTAAGAATTAATGTCGCGCACACACTTTATAATTATACACGAACAACTTTTTACGGCGCGACTCTATTTCAAATAGAAGTAGGCGTGTACAGTGCACGACGACGACGTATTATGCACTCTTGTTCGACGCACGATTGCAGCCGACGCGGATAAAGCGTGGCAAACGAAGAAACGAAAATTCATTTTCAAATACGAATTAGGCTTTCTGTCGGGTCCATACTCAGTGAAAAATCAAATAAAACACAAGCGTAACTTTCAAAACACAGACAGGTGTTAAAAAGAACTACACAAAAGTTGATTCTAAGTGCATTAGAAAAAAAAAACATAAATTATAAGTATTCGCCTGATTTAAGTATTACCAAAACTTTTACTTGTACATTTTGAGCCTGAATTAAATAAAAAAATTGAGTCGCCCCCTCCCCTAGAAGTAAGTCTAAATACGGCTCTGCGTACGCTACTAATCGATGTATGGCGGATAAAGTATAATTTCTCGGTGACGAGTTTCTGCTGGTACGGCTTGAACCAGTGGCGTATACATAATTTTTGTATGGGGGGGGGGATCAATTTCAAAAAAATGATTATGGAAGGAAAATCTCTAAACCTAAGTACCTGCACATTTAAATAATAAATAATAAAAGATGTATATTGAATGCGTCAAAATAATAATTTGCAATATTTTTTTGTTTCCATATAATTTCCTCACATTAAGAACACTATTTAATAGAATTTTAAAAAGGTTTATGAGGGGATCTGACCCCCTCATCACCCCCTTGTATACGCCCCTGGCTTGAACATAAATGTATACGTATGCATAACCGGCAGTATGTGTAATTAGGCATTATACAAAATTACTGACAGACAAATGATGCATACATTCCCTAGTCATTATATACGAGTCCGATTAGAATTAGGCGAGATGTACATTCTTGTGACCGCGTAGACGTTTCGATAATGACTGCCGTACGGGGTCAACCGATATAATGTCAATACACAGATGACATACCAAAATAATTCGTCAGTTGTATCGTGTTCGAATTATTTTCAGTACGGCGTGCAACGTACACAATACACAACGCTGAACGTATAATTCTAACCCATTCGATTACATTGCAGACAAACATTGAAAATCGTTGGTATACGACGTGCCCCAGAAACGTTGCGACCACTGCAGTTCGTATTAACTCTAAACGTGTCTTAAGAACAACAAATTATTACGAATAATTATGAACAACACTCCGTTCCGTAATGCGCTGTGCGAGTTTTGGACGTCCGATTTTTGTGTGTACCGTCACTTTCAGAACACCAAATGAAAAACGAAAACAGGCATTTCATTTTTTGAAAAACACTCTCACGATAAAAATTGGTGAAAATATGTCTTGTATCGTTATTTATGCAGTAGAAAAAAAAAAAAAGAAAAGAAACGCCGCACAAATGTCTCGAAACGCAATGCGACGTACATAACACACGGGTGCACATAACGAACCCGTTTCGTATCCGAAATACGCGTTCCGATAATAATAATAATAATAATAATACGGGTATAATAGTCGTGCACGGGCGTATTGCGATCGCGATTGTTATCTGTTAGAAATTAACGTCGACCTCGTATCATGTGCACGCGGCGCGTAATACTTTTAACAACCGTGAGCGTATAAATAAATTGATACACATGTACGCGGAAAGAAAAACGAAAACACGAAACAATGTACTGCGGTGCAGCGACCGTCCGTCGGGGACAGATGTTCGCGTCCGTTTCCGTCGGTTACGCGACGGCCGCGTCACTTCGATGGGTTTCAATAACTTGTAACGACTTCGGTGCCGGTGCAAAGTAGAGAAGGGTCGGCGGACGGCCAGCAGGTGATTTTTTCGACCGATAGCGGTGCGCGTGTAGAGAAGCGTACGACGAGTGGAACGTGTGCGCGGGACGGACAGCGTTACGATCTCTTAATTGATTTCGGACTGGGGGGGGAAAAAAAAAAAAAAAAAAAAAATGAAAAACTTCTACGTAGGTGTGTATATACTTAATACGTATTGCGCACATACATATACACCTACTTATCGTCGCGTAGACGTAGAGTGGTAACGTCGTCGTTATCTGCACATTTGATCTTTCCGGGGGCATCCGAGAAATTGCTCTCTCGGAATATTTTCATGCTATCCGGTTCCAATTAATAATAATAATAATAACGCTCGCGCACGCGTGCCCGTCTACAATAATAATACATAAGGTTAAGTTCCTTTTCTGGTGGTGTTTTTTTTTTTTTTCCTTCCCGCCGCCCATCCTCCGTTCGTTTCGTACTCGCACGACGCTTTTAAACGCCGGACGAGAACACCCGTCCGCGCCCACCACGGTACGAACGCGCGTGCAACGACTGCCCGTAATAATAACGTTCCGGGTTCCATAACCGTGATTAGGTTAGGTTAGTAATGTTTTAAAACGATAGACGGATAGTTGGACGCGACGCACTTGCAGGGTTCGAAGTCGATCGGCGGAGGAATTGAGAGGACCGGCATGTGTTTGACATTTTAGGGAAACAACGTTATCCGTTCGGTTTTCGTCGTTGTTTAAATTTTTGAGCGAGTTATGAGCGTTTTTTTTTTTTTTTTTTTACTGTAACATTTCACGCGATCGTAGCTCGTTTGAAAATTTAAATACAGGCATAAACCGACTAGCGAAACACAGACAAGGTCGCAAGAAACGGGTCCTCGTATAATACGCAAACGGCAGTAGATGCTATTGTTGTTGTGTCGGACGATTAAGTCGAAGGATTCAATAGACATCGTGATTTCGATGAAATGCGCAGCTTAAGTCGGTTTTAAAGGGCTGACCGTTCGGTTCGAAACGACTACAAAAACCTGCTATGAAATACGCGAATACGCCCGTCGCGCGAGTTCAAGTTCTGCGCAACGTACTCGTATTTAATGCAGTTTTTCAATTCCAATAATTCATCTCATTGATAAAAACTTCGATTTTTTTTTTTTTTATTTCAACGTCCACGACTTCGAACAATTCTTCCACGGTATATTTTTTTTCGTCACGTCGAAATGTGCGTTTTCGCAACTGGAACGTACGACGAGCACGATATTTAAATCATTATACTTTTCAAGTGCCCGACAACGTCATAAGAACGTAGTCTGCACGTTCGGCCGTCTTGGAAGAATCGGTTTTCGATCTACATTGATTACGAATTGAGCGTCTTTGTGTTTCATGCTTTCACTAGAAATAATTATCATAAAGAATGCATAACGTAGCATATAGTCACGTGTATACCAAAATGAATATAAAGTGTGCGTGCATAAAATAAATAAAATAGTTAACCGGATGATCGGAAAAACGTGAGACGCTGGTGCAGTTTTATGTGCAACAATCATAATTCAATTCCCAATATCGTAGTATATTTCAGCAGCACTGAGAAACCCAGATTTAAATACGAACCGATCCGTTATCTTTTCGACGTGATAAATAACCGTTCGGTCGAAACTACAACAGAAACTAGCAGCAGTTAAAGGTACCCAATATTAATAATCTTATAGCAAGCAATCACAAACGAACTTAGGGCATGTAATAAATTCAACCGTTTCTCCCTAAAATACCTGTTCCCGTCACGAGGGCTATTAACTCGATCGTTGTACGTAATGACTTAATTTGGAAATTAAAAATGGACTCGAAACGGACGCAGGTTATGATGTAGATGAAATATAACACGATATTGAACCGAACTTTGAACGTCCTTTTAATGCTAAAACGACAAATAATTTTAAGTGTTTTTCATCATTTAACGGTGTTCTTCCGTCGAATTGGCAGACTTGCACTTGTGTAATTCAAATTGTCGTACACAGTACATTGATATCTTAAATGCAATGCACTCGATATCATTTTATCCAATTACTTTAAGTTACACTTATTAATCGTAACCGCGTTTACGGTTTAGATTTGTTCATGATGATTTCATTATTCCTTTTTTATTTTTTTGCATTTCAAATGCACCTGCCCAGTAGTAGAACTTATAAACAATTATTTCTACCAAATTAATTGGATCAACGCTTTTGTGTAGTTGATTGAGATTAAATTTGATGTTTATTGAAAAGTTATTGATTTTATCAGAAGATCCTTTGAATAACTTGCACAAAATTTGTCTTTGAAATCGTATTTAATGTGGTATTCGTATGTTACAGAATGTACGGCTCGTTTCGTTTTCCACTTCGATGTCAACTTAAAAACTACGAGTAAAAAGTAAACTATTTTAATTTAATTGATATTTAACTTTTAAAATACGTTTTTTTATACTATGAAGTATATGAAGTATAAATATAAGTGGAGACAACCGTATAATAAGTTTTTTAATAATAATATTCAAATTTTTTAAAATTCAACTGAACAACAATTTTTTTACCAACCAATCGTAGCGCATTAAAATGTGCTTTAATAAAATTGTAAAAAAACGTTAAACCATACACTATGTTAGGCTCAAACCTCACACAATGTAGTTAAGTATGTAAAAATATGTAATGCGTCCATTCAGTCGCACGCGATTGTAATTAGTAGAACTCAGAAGTTATTGCACTAAATAACCATCAATTATTATTAAATATTATTATTATATTATTCTGACACATATTAATATCTGACATGAACCTCATACTTATTTTATATATTTTTTTTAATTTTTCTTTTCTTTAGTAGCATTACAGGTCATTTAGACTCTTTGATGTCAAAACTAAATACTACCACTCCTCTCTATTATACGCATGGTTCATGTCTCCATTTCAATCCGGTCTCAGCTCCTGCGTATCTCTTTTGATTACATCTAAACACCGTTGCTTTGGTTTACCACGTGATCTTTTCTTGTTCAATTTGTTAACAAGTACCGTCTTAACAATACTGTTGTCGGCTCTCCAGACGTAGCCCGCCCACTCTTATCGTGCTCCTTTGTATGTACAAATTGTATTATACTTCCTTTTCCATATAATTTCTTCGTTTGACCTTCACTCCCACACTTGGGTATCAGGGTTAAAAACAGGACCATACATTTTATAACAACAGGAGATGAAAATAAACTAAATATCTTTGAAAGGTATTAAGAAAAATGTATTTTATATCTTACGATATATCTTACCAAAACACTTTAAATAATGTGAATATTATTTAATAGTATTTAAAATCGAGGAAAATCAAAAAAATTACAATCAAATCGTAAAATTGACAGTAAATTGACGTAAAGTAGCACTAAAATTTTTTTAGATATTAATTGTTACTTGTACGGAACGAATTTATAACCTACTAAGCAATAGATCCGAACAATAGAAAAAAGTTGCAAATGCTACAACTTCCGAGGCATAGTAATTAGGGTTATATTATGGTAAATCGTACTTTGAACAATTAACAACCATTGCATACATAATGCGCTTTCGCGTATTTCGATAAAAATAAAACATATACGCCCGCGCAACTTTACCACAAAGTTATGGAATGATAAATGATTATACGGGTAAAATTACAAAAATAAACAGTTGGTGCGTCTCTACCGCAGCGGCTGCGTACTTCGTGCGATCGGTATAAAACAGTAAAACGAACAATGTATACACTATTTTATTGTTTGTCGATAAACTTCACCGTCGGATATATCTGTCTCGGCAATCAACGATGAGAGTCAATAAATATTGTTTACAGGATTTTATGACTTCTATTTGTTTAGAGGATTTACAGAATAAAACGAAAACCCCAACGCAATGACTTGCAAATTACAAATGTTATTAGCTAATGGATTGCTCAGGAGTCCATTAACTCGACTTTTACTCCGAACAAACGGTATTAATAATACTCTCGTGATGTGTACAAAGTTTCAAATAATGATTGTGGTAGACATTTAAGGAATTGACTTGATCACACAAACGAAAACGCGTGTAGTCTTTTTTTTTTTTATTTTTATTTTATTTTAACCGACCACATTTTAACCTAATGAAATTACACGCGGTTCCAAATACGTACGCGTTTCCAAGCGCTGTACTGCTCGATGAACATATTTTATTTTTCTCTCCGAACTGTTTGGGAGGAAAAACCAACAGATGATTGGTGTAGCGCGTCTGAGAACGTATGTTATTCTCGTGTTTAGGATCGTCCAGCAACTATTCACAACCCGTCTCGACGCCTACGACTGTGTGATACGATGCGTAATTGATTTTAATTCTTCTGTCTGATTAGCACTTTCCCATTAGGAAATGGACTCGACGTCGATTTTTCTGATGTGCAATAAACCGAAAGGAAAGAAGAAATAGACGATAAGAAGTAAGAAAAATGGTATAAGACCGGAAAATAAGAAAGACAATTATAAGGATAAGGATGTATGGGACGGGAACCTCCCACGTTGTTAAATCTAAATTTCTATCGATGTTTAAAATTTGTTAGAAATCTTGACATTCTTTTTGGGATTTCTATAACACAGGTGATACGTATTCAGGACCGAATCGAACACGGAGCCTAGGAGCCCGGACTCCAGGCTCTAAAATATGTAAGACCCCAAAGGGGCCTACTATCATAAACTCAGTTCAAAACCTTTTATGTTTAAATTTTATTTTGGTTATACATTTTTTTAATTTTCGTAATTGTATTATTTGTATCTGTATTTGAGATCTCTACTAAAAGAAATAAATACAGATGAAATTATTGCGGAGTTCTAAAAAGAGAAGAGAAAATAATAGAATAAAGTTAGTTTTAAAATATTATACTTATATATTTTTACATTTAAAGAATAATATTGTATATTTGCATGTAACGAAAATCGTCAAACATTAAACACTGTTAAAGATATTTCCGTACGATCAATTACTTTTTATCATTTTTTTTAATGAAATAAAATCCAGTTATCGTTGATAAATATTGTAAGGATCAAGGGCCCTTTGGACTGCTAGGCTCCAGGCCCGATACGCTATTGATCCCGGTCCTGTACGTATTACATCTGAATGCGTAACGCACACGAATTCGGAACTGAAACGGAAGTTATTCGCGTGTATTAGTAGATTTCACTACGTAACCGCGAGTACGCCTGTTAAACAATATCGTTTGGAACGTACACGGCGTGCGGGCCGCCGCGGAGTGTGTGTTGTGCACGTGGTTCGGTTATAATAACTGTGGGGGTGCACTCGTCAACATTCGTGTACAGGTGTAGAAAACAGAAGGGTTGTATTTCGGTTGCGAACCTATATGTGCGTGCCGCGTCCGCGTATGTAGTGCAGTTGTGTCGCGACGGGGAAATAATTAATTCAATATCACGCGATCGGGACCGGGGGCGGACGAGTTATTCTCGCGCCGAACGCGCATATATACACGGGCTACACCTACACCCGTGCACAGCTCTCCTGGACCCTTTCGCGCGGCGGTAAGTTTGCACGGCGCGTCCGCCGCTCTCCCGGCCCGTCGCGTACCGATGAACACGGTTTAGGTTGATTCGCGCGCGCTTTTCTCCACGGAAACTGCCACGGCCAATCGTCGCCACCGCGCGTATACCGTATGGTATAATATGCATAATGAACACCGCGTGCGGTGGCGGACAGAAGGTATTTAGCAAATCACTGACGAGGTGCGGCGGTTTTGTGTGCGCCGCTTCCCTACACGCGTATACGGTGTACACGTGTGTGTGCAGTGCGTGCGGTGACGGTTGTTGCGTGAAACAGCCGGGCCGGCAGAAGGGTTGGACGGCGGACGGTGTACACACGGGGCGCCGCGCCGCACCCGTATTGAAGTTCATCAAACCGCAAAATACCACCTCGCAACCCCGTGCCCGCGCGTCCTTTGCCGCGGCAGCATCCGACCACGTCGTCACCATCAATTCCCGTGTGTGTTTGGCATCGCTGATTTGCATTCGCCCGACGAAATTATACACCTAGAAAGGGTCGTCCTGCCGACTCTCCCTCTCTCTCACACACACACACACTATCTGTCTCTCTTACACACACGCACACACCATTCACACCGGTTACAGCATACACGTATATATAGTACGGTTTCGGCGGCGGTTAATTGCAGACGTGGAAGCGTTCATGAAGAAACATTAACGCGGACAAAAAGACGCGACGTCAATTTCTCGGTAGGCTGCGGCAGCAATTTCACGTGCGAACCCGTCCTGCGCGAATCCTCTCCGATCTTTCCGCCCTTACGCACACGCCGACTACTACTCAAAGACACCGCCACTTCCATCACTAAATAATTATAATAATAATAATACGCGTTACTGGTGTGCACGAAATACGTACGAATGCCTATCGAATAACCGGCACCTACGTCGAGGTTTATCATACAATTATAATCATTAACGGTTACCGTGTGATTGCGTATAGATGAACTCGTATGCTGTACGATCGTATCCTTTTAACTGTAACATTTCATTCGGAACACTCGTGTGTTTTTTAACCATCAGGTATGACTTAAAATTAGCTCTAGGTAAAGCGTTTGAAAACGTTTAAATCTATTTGTTTCATCAAAGATGAAAATTAAGTATAAATTGTTGGTGGACGAAATGCTGTGTTAGGTTTCTTAATTTTTTCTCTACGCAGGAAAAATCAACAAGATAATCGAAAAATTGATCTTGCTAATGTACTTTTGATTATTTCATTTTTAAATAAAGAACCTTAAGTTTGGTCATAGAAAAGGCTAAAAAATATCGCAAAAATTATTTACTTATTTATGAAATCCTCACAATGTTCACAATCTGAAAATGCATGTATAAACCGAAGACATTAAATGTCTCCAATCAAAAACAAATTTTGTTTGAATATAGTACATACATTTTTTTACATTTAAAAGCATCAATTTTGCCGCATGAAAAAAATAACGTCGAGATGTCTCAGTACGCAAATGCGTGAAAATATAATATAATACATTTTCTTTATGGTTTTTAGATTTTAGTTAGAAAACTATTGTAGAACGTGTAATTTTAAAACAAATCCTATACTCCGTTTCCAATTTTTATATAACATATATATATATATCACTCAGAGGTGGATTTAACTTTTGTACAGCTATAGGCACGAAAAATTTACCTCCCTGATTACTAAATATAATATACTAATATTAGTGCCTTCATTCGTTCGAATTTTCAGACGATTTCTTTTCTAGATTTTAGTTATTTAGTCTACTTTGGAAAAATTTCTATAGACATCCATCAAATTTTAATGAAAACGTACTGATAATTTTTATGAACAATCGTTATTAAAACTGTTGTTTCGATAATAAATATA